CTTGTGGCTCTGTGATAGGAGAAAACTGAGACACAGAAAAGTGACTGGCCCAATATCCCATAGCTTTCTTTTCTCTTCTTTCTTTCTTTCTTTCTTTCTTCCTTTCTTCCTTTCTCTCTTTTTTTTTTCCATTGGTCCTGAGGCTTGAACTTAGGGTCTGGGGGCTGTCTCTTAAGCATTTTTGCTAACGTCTAGTACTCTACCACTAGAACCATAGGTCTACTTCTGCCTCTTTTGGGGGTTGAGATAAGAGTCTCAGGGACTTTCCTTTCCCAGGCTAACTTTGATTCCTGATCTTTGTATCTTAACCTCCTGAGTAGCCAGGATTACATGGACCCTGTCTCAGCTTTTTTTTCCTATAAGTCTAACATAGTGAATCAGCAAGATCTAGATCCAAGTAGTATCACAGATGTGACAGATGTGGAAGTTGAGATAGACATTGAAGAACTTATTAAAAGATATGAAGAAATGTGGAGAATTATGCAAAGTGTCAGAATAACGTATCATTTATTGGAACTGAGAGACTAATTAAAGTGCTCAGTTAGCATTATTAATTATGTAAGTGAAATATTTGACTGCTGAACTCAGCCAAAAAACACTTCAAGTAAGTGCCTTGACTGAAGATGTTCTGAGCCAGGAGTGGGTGGCTCATGCCTATAATCCCAATTGCTTCCAGTTTTGGCTTTTTTCTGGCTCATTGGTTATAAAAGTCTCGTGGAGGTCTGGAAAGGTAGCTCAGTTGTAGAGTGTTTGCCTTGCATGCGTGAGACCCTGGGTTCAACTCCTCAGCACCACATAAATAGCAAAAGCTGAAAGTGGTGCTGTGGCTCAAACCTTGAGCTGAAGAGCCCAGAGTTCAAGCCCCACGACCAACCAAAAAAAAAAGGGGGGGGGGGGCTGGGAAGGTGGCTTAAGTAGAGTGCTTGCCTAGCATGCATGAAGCCCTGGGTTCAATTCCTCAGTACCACATACACAGAAAAAGCCGGAAGTGGTGCTGTGGCTCAAATGGTAGAATGCTAGCCTTGAGCACAGAGAGGCTCAGGGACAGTGCCCAGGCCCTGAGTTCAAGCCCCAGGACTAACCAAAAAAAACACAAAAAAACAAAAAACCTCCAAAAAAAAGTCTTGTGGATTTGTCTTCTCATGCAGACTTTGAGCCTTGATCTTCAGATCTCAGCCTCCTGAGTAGTAGAATAAATTTTTTTTGTAGTACTAGTGTTTGAATTAGGGCCTAAATACGTGGTAGACAGATGCTACCACTTGAGCCAAGTCACCAGCCCTAAGGAATAATGACTTTAAAGAAAGTTAGAAAGTGTTATATCTCCTTTTCCCCCTCCTCCTTATTGCTTTGTTGTGCATGCTAGGCAAGCATTCTACCAAGGTACATTCCCAGCTCTGGAAGTGTGTCTTGAGAGAGGCAGAAACCTCAGGGAGAGTTCAATGGGGACATTGTCTTTGGCTTGTGTGATGGGAGACGTGATACTCGCTTTACTTTGAAAGATACACTCTAGGACAATGATAACTTAATTACATCAACTAATTTATGGAGTGCATAGTATGTGCCTAGTGCTAGGTTCAGAGAATATTATCCTCATCTCTGATCTTATTTATTCCTCACAATAGGTCAATATTTTTATTCTCAAATTGAATTTGATGAGATTGAAGCTCATTAAAGATAAGTGGATTGTTCCAAGTCACACAGCTTGTAAATGAAAATGGAGCCAGGCTAGTAGGCCAAGTCTTGAATCTGGAGTTAGAGGTTTTCAAATTCTCTCTTCTTTTTCTCTCTATGTTTAGAATAGGTATATTTCCATTTCCAAAATCCAATTGCTATCCATTCTTTTAGTTTAAATACTAGGTCTTTTTATAGCAAACATTCCCAAAATTTCGCTCTCAAACAATTACATCATATTGATGGGAGTGTTGGCAAAAATACAAATTTCTCAGCCTTACTCTCAGAAACTCTAAATTTGGGTAAATAACATTTATTTATTGCTGTCCTGAGAACTTAATTCACTCCCACATACTAGCATACCTTCTACTACTGAGTTACATCTCTAGTGTGAAATCTTTTTATCTTTTTTTTTTTTTTGTCGGTCTTGGGGCCTGAACTCTGGGCCTGGCGCTGTCCCTCAGCTCTTCAGCTCAAGGCTATTGCTCTACCACTTGAGCCATAGCATTACTTCTGGCTTTTTTCTGCTTATGTGGTACTGAGGAATTGAACCCAGGGCCTCATGCATGCAAGGCAAGCGCTCTACCACTGAGCCATCTCTCCAGCCCTAGCCTGAAATGTTTTAACAAAGTTATTTGGCCTCTGAGAATCACTGTGTCTAGAAGATCTTCATAGGAAACATCAATAGAAATAAATTCTTTCAGAGAATACTTCAACCACGTCTTTATTTTTTAAATTAACATACATTAGTTTTAAAAGGGGAGATTTCAGTGTGACATTTACACACACACACACACATATAATGTTTTCCAGTCAAACTTACCTCCTCTATCAATGTCCTTTACCCTTCTCCCTCCTTCTAAAACAATTTTAACAGGTTTCATTGGTCTATTTTCAAACATGCAAAAAACTCATTAGTTCTCCTCCTGTTTGTACTCCCTCTCCCCAGCACTGTTTGTTTTACTTTTCTGTCTTGTATATGTTGGTACTGAGGCTTGAACTCAGGACCTCACACATTCACTTGGCTTTTTCTGCTTAAGGCTAGTGCTCTACCACTTGAGCCATACCTCTACTTGTACTTCTGTTCTTTTTCCTCCCTCCCTCCCTTTTTCCCTCCTTCCCCCTCTACCCTCCTCTCTCTGTCAGTGCTGGGTCTTGAACTTGGGGTCTTAGTTGTTTGTTTTTTGTCCCTGAGCTTTTCTATGTTGATCAAGGATATGTTCTACCATTTGAGCCACAGCTCCACTTCTGGCTTTTTTGGTAGTTATTGGAGATAAGAGTTTTATGGACTTTCTTGCCCCTGATGGCTTTGAACTGAGATCCTCAGATCTCAGCTTCCTGAGTAGCTAGGATTACAGGCCTGAGTCACCAGTGCTTGGCTTTTTGTTGGTTAATTAGCGATAATAGTCTCACAGATCAGGTTGACTTCAAACCTTGATCCTCAAATTCCAACCTCCTGAGTAGCTAGGATTGATTATAGGTGTGAGCTATTGCCAGCTCTTGGCTTTAAAAAATAATATTATTTTAAATTTTTAGTGTGTTAATTGTATCAAGGGCCACTGCTAAGTGCTCCTTTTTATACTGGTTTGTCTGAAACTCAGGGCTTTACTCATTCCTGACAGCACAGGTACTAGTTGAAGTCTAACTGAAGTTTTAAACCTAGGCCCCAAACTCCAAGGATTCGTACCAGATTTTCCCACAGGCCCCCATGTGGGAGATGTTAACGATGAAAGGCTGAGAAAGGAATTATTATTCAGCCTGAAACATGACTTCAGAAGAGGCAAAATGAGTACTTCAGCTCATCTTCAGCCAGAATGTGGCTGTTTAAATAGACAAAGAACTGAAGGCAGAAGAAGAAAGCATTGCATGAATACTAAACAGTTCTGGTCAAAGTGTGGCCTGGTGGCTCATTATGGAGGAGTCCTGAGCAGAGCAGGTGTTAGCAGTTGAGTGAACTAGTTTTGGTCAGGATAAACAAGTTGTTGTTGCCTAGTGGATAGTCTATAGGAGAGAGGAATTTTTTGGAGCGTGGGGAAGAGGAGAGGGAATACTGGGCTTGAACTCATCTTCGCTCAGCTTGTTTGCTTGACTGGTGCACTACCACTGGAGTTATACCTCCAGCTATATTTTTGTTTTTGAGACAGTCTCAGGGGACCTTTTTGTCTTGCTTGGCTTGAACAGCCATCCTCTTGATCTCAGCCTTTTGGGTAGCTATGATTATGAACATGAGCCACCAGTGCCAGGTCTGAGGAAGAAAATTCTGCTGTTTTTTTTTTATTATTGTGAAAATACTGTACAGAGGGGTTACAATTACATGGGTAAGATAATGAGTACATTTCGTATCAAGCATTGTAGCCTCCTCCTTTGTTTCCCCTTTCCATCCCTTCCCATCCTTCCCCCCTATCCTTCTCTCCCTCCCCCCCCACCAAAGTTGTAAAGTTCGTTTTCGACATAACCTTGTACATCTCATTATTGCAATGCGTCCACCTGTATCCCTATTTAAACGATTTTTTTTCCCTTCCCCTCCACAAATAATAACATCAAATACAGTGATAGTAGGGGTTATACCGTGGGGGAGGGACATACAGAGCAACAAAGAAATAATCTTTTAAATGTGTTAGAAAGAATCACATGAGAGAAAAAAAACATTTGAATGCATATCTTGGGGTTCATTTCCCTAACATCAACTTATCTGACCTTTTCTGCTTCGCTCAGACATATACTAGTTATTGCAAATAAGGGAAACCATGGGACCTATGTTTCTTTGGGCCTGGCTTACTTCACTTAATATAATTTTTTCCAAGTCTTTAATTCTCCTGTTCTTTATCTTGGGAGCAGTTTTCTCCTTCCTTGTAATGATGTTACCCCTAAGCCTAGTATTTCTTAGGTTCTAAGGTGATTGTACAGAGAATGGCTTAGAGCAAAGGCAGGTAGAAAATGGATGCAGGGGTGAAACATTTCTCCTATTTTTAGTTTATGGGCCCAAGTAAGGTCATCAGTACGTTTCACCAGAAACACCTTAAGTACCTGTTACAGAAGTACTGAACTATAGATTATGGATAGCGCTGATCTACATATCAATTTCAATTCAATAGCAATAACTATTTGTCAAATTGCCCAAAGCCACACACAAAATCTGCAGCTTCTCTCTGGAAAAGCAAGGCATATCTGATTTGTTACAAAGAGAAGTCAAACTGAGTTGATTACAAATGATTGTTCATCCCTGCTTGGGGAATAAACCAGGTTAGTGCGACTCCTGCGCAGGCGCAGAAGCAAGGCGGACAATAAAAATCTCCAAGCGCACCCTTCCCCCCGCCCACTTTCCGGTCTGCTTCCAACGCGCAGGCGCAGAGAGTGCGTCAAGATGGCGGCCCCCGTGGATCTGGAGTTGAAGAAGGTAAAGTGGGGTTTTGACCAGGTGGATCCTTCATTGGAGGGTGAAGAGAGTGTGGGCAAAAATATTGAGGAAGGCCCGTGTCGCGAAAAAGGAACGGGGCTCCCGAGGAGTGCGGGGCGTGGTTTCCAGAGTCCCCCGGCGGCCCGTCGTTGTCCTTAAGCTGGGGTGGGGGCGAGCGGCCCTGGCCGGGTGGGCGCCGGCTAGGCCCGGGAGCGGCTGCTCGTCTGTGGGGGGCCTGGTGCCCGTGTGTCCTCACGTTCCAGGCTCCAGAGCCCTCCATCTGGTTGCATTTTGAGCCGTGTGCGACTCGGTGACACTAATAACTGCAGCGTTTCAACCTGGAGCCCCTTCAGGTCGCCTGCCTGGAGCTGAGATATCGATGGTTCGGTCTCATGTTTAGAAAAACTCCGAAGTTCTTGTCTTGTTTTCAGGCCATTGATTCAATATCATAATCTTGAAAGGCCTCAGTGTCTCCACTCCAGAAAGTTAGGCACTGACTTAATAGGGGATTAAGTGCTGCGCCCTTCCCCGGCTCCCTTTTTGAAGGACTTGTCAAGAAAAAAAAAATTTAAGTTTTGCAGATGTGGTCACTGTCAGGAGATTGGATTGCTCTCCTACCTCCACCAGTTGCTTCTACAAGGGTTGCTTCTCACACATTCCCCCCCCCCCCCCCCCCCCACCAAAGACTGATGTGGATTCTAAACAGTACTGGAACTAGTTTTCTATAAAGTCTCAGAGATTAGGACTAAAATTCAATATTAATATTCTTATTTCACCTCCCATGATATTTTGATGATTAGACACTTCAGGTGAGCAACATCGCTAAGTAATTGCTTCTGGCTGGTAGCATACATACCCGGATAATCTCAGTTCTGGGAAGTTTTTTTTTTTTTTGGGTCTGGTCATGGGGCCTGAACTCTAGGCCTGGGCGCTGTCCCTCAGCTCTTCAGCTCAAGGCTAGCACTCTACCACTTGAGCCACAGCGCCACTTCCGGCTTTTTTCTTTTTGCTTATGTGGTGCTGAGGAATCGAACCCAGGGCCTCAGGCATGCAAGGCAAGCACTCTACCACTGAGCCACCTTCCCAGCCCCAGTTCTGGGAAGTTGAGGCAGGAGGAAGGCAAGTTTGAGGAAAACCTAGGATGGCTGTCTTAAAACAAGAAAAACAAAGCTAAACTTACTTTTTTTTTGGGGGGGGGGGGAATTTAAAGTTAATTTTTTATTATCTTTAGTTATACAAAATTTGCATTTAATAGCAGTTTATTCATACAATAAGTCCTCACCAAGATTGCCCCTTTCAGCGTTCTCACCCATCCCTCCTAAACCCACTCCCTCCCTCACTTTTCTTTTTAGATGAGTCAATTTATACATTTCACATCATGGTCAGAGCTCTTCCTCTGGCAAAACTCAGACTTGGTACTCTTCAAACATTAAGTCCTTACCGTACCATCTACTCAGCCCTAAGCCACCTCTGGGCATTTTAAACTGTTCCTCTTAATAAAGCTGTTATTACTCTGAGATTATTACCAATTTGTCTTCTTTTTGCCATTTTTGTCTTGAAACTTGTGAATTTACTTCCTTGCTTATTGGCTGTACTGAAGTTTGAATTCAGGGCCTGTGTTTGCTAGGAAGGCACCCTACCAGTCAAGCCCACTACTTGTAAAACCTTATGAACAGTGTCCTTTTATGCTGCAGGTTTTTTGTTTGTTTGGTTTTGCTTTAACAGTATTCTTATACTGTCAGGTAATACCTGAATTTTACATTTCAGAACAAAATTGTGCATTCTAAAATTTTGCCTTTTTTGCTGTTGTGAAAAGTTGAAATTTAAATCATGGTTTAGTTAGAATTAACAGAAATCCAGCTGTAAATGGCCTCACCAGTACTCTTTGAATTTTTGTTAAGAAAGATAGACAAGTACAAGCAGAAAATAATTGAGTTGAGTAATTTGGACAATAATTAAAAATGTGTTTAAAGGTTTTATCCTCTAATGTCTTTACAAGGTCTTTTTTGTGTGAAAACAAACAGGAAATTTCTGGCACCTCTCTTCCTTTTTCTCCACTCTCCTGTCTCCCAAATAAACTTTTGATGTCTTTTTAGTAGGCAGAAACAATGTTAGAGTAAAAGGTTAGTAGCCAGCAGATGCTAAATGTTATTAAGCTGTGAATTTGACAGCAAGTGAAAGTCATTCTAAGCACTTCAAGAGTATCCAAGTACTGTTTATCTTCCAGTTAAGTTAGTAAACACAAGGGTCAAATTTGGTATGGTATGTAGAGATGAAGATCATGATGTAATTTTGCCACTGCTTTCACATTTTTTCTCATTTTTATCTTTCTCTTTCAAATATTTGCATGTTGTAGTAGTTGGAAAAATTCCTGAACTAAGTGTCAAAAGAAATGGATTTAAGTGCCTGCTTTTCCAGCTAATTGTTCAACCCTAGTTTTTTTTTTGTTTTTGGGTCCGGTTGTGGGGCCTGAACTCTGGGCCTGGGCGCTGTCCCTCAGCTCCTCAGCTCAAGGCTAGCGCTCTACCACTTGAGCCACAGCGCCACTTTCGGTCTTTTTTCTTTTTGCTTATATGGTGCTGGGAATCGAACCCAGGGCCTCAGGCATGCAAGGCAAACACGCTCTACCACTGAGCCACCTTCCCAGCCCCCAACCCTAGTTGTTCAAGCCACATTTCTCCCTCCCCCTCTCCCTCTCTCCCTTTCCCTTCCCCTTCCCCTCTCTCCTCTCTTCTCTCCTCCTCTCTCTTCTCTCTTTCTCTCTCTCCTCTCTCTTCTCTCTTTTCTCTCTCTCTCTCTCTCTCTTTCTTTCTCTCTCTTTTGGCGCTCATCCTGAGGCTTGAATTCAGGACCTAGGTGCTGTCTTTGAGCTTTTTTGTGTTGTAAAGCTCCACTTCTGACTTTTTGGAAGCTTACTGGAGCTAAAAGTCTCATGGACTTTCTTGCCCAGGCTGACTTTTGAACCTCCATCCTCAGATCTCAGCCACCTGATTAACTAGGATTACAGGCATGAGCCACCAGTACCCAGCCACTTTTATCTTCTAACTAATTTACTTACTTAATTTGTAGCGTGTGGGTGATAAAACTGCTACTCCTTACTCATACTATTGAAAGGAATAGATGGGATATGTATATTATCACTCATAAATATGTACATGTATATATTTTGTCCCTCATTGTTTCTACATATTTCAATATGGACAAGTGCTTTGAAGTGTAGTTACTTTTATGATTCTTGTTTTGGGCCTCTAGACTTCATTGAGTCATTTATTGCTTTATTTTGTCTACTTGATATGGTTATATAATGTGCACTTATTTTGCTTCAAATTGATTACATCTTCTGAGGATAGGATAAACTCAGACTTTAGCATAGCTTTCAATTATATGGTCATGTTAAATATTCAGTAAATTTTACAACTTTGTCTCTGCTAGCATGTTCTGTTTTAATAAGTTTAGATTAGTCTTAAATGTTTTCTTTGAAATGTTTTACCTACTAAATCAAAGACTTGTTTTTGTTAGGCCTTCACAGAGCTCCAGGCCAAAGTTATTGACACGCAACAGAAGGTGAAGCTTGCAGACATACAGATTGAACAGCTAAACAGAACAAAAAAGCATGCACACCTTACAGATACAGAGATTATGACTTTGGTAGATGAAACTAACATGTATGAAGGCGTAGGAAGAATGTAAGTAAAATATATCCTTAATGGTGTTATCTTGGGAAAGCTTTAATCTGAATCAAGTAATAAAATTTCTTTGTTTTTTAAAAAAATTATCTTTAGTTGTACAAAGGAGTTGCCATTCAGAAATTTCTTCATTTTCAGACTTGTGTTAATGTGTCAGAAAAATGGCCTTCAAAATCATCTAGTGAAAAGCCTTTTCTAAAAAAAACCTAGAATTTCAGAAAGATAATAAATGTTTGAATTTATACTTTGGAGTACATTTCTTACTCTGCTTTCTCTACAAATGTATAAGATCACTAAGAAAAATAAGATTTATTATGGAAATATGTTTATTGTAATTTTGTATGTGAAAATTTAGTTGGTATGATTTTAATCTTTTTATCCTTGAAGAATTTATTTGGAGTTATACAAATCATAAATCTTTTAGACAGCTCACCCAATTTGTAAAATAAAAATAGAGATTAATTTGCCATTTAGGTACCATCATTCTAAAAGAATAATTTTCATGTGAGAAATTTGGTAAACTGGGCTGGGAAGGTGACTCAGTGGTAGAGCGCTTGCCTTGCATGCATGAGGCCCTGGGTTCGATTCCTCAGCACCACATAAGCAAAAAGAAAAAAGCCGGAAGTGGCGTTGTGGCTCTAGTAGTAGAGCGCTAGCCTTGAGCTGAAGAGCTGAGGGACAGCGCCCAGGCCCAGAGTTCAGGCCCCAGGACCGCACCAAAAAAAAAAAAAAAAAAAGAAATCTGGTAAACTAACATCTTTTTTTTTCTTCTAATTTTTTTTGCCAGTCCTGGGGCTTGAACTCAGGGCCTGGGCGCTGTCCCTGAGCCTTTCTGTGCTCGAGGCTAGTGCTCTACCACTTGAGCTATAGCACCACTTTCGGCTTTTTCTGTTTATGTGGTTCTGAGAAATAGAAACCAGGGCTTCATGTATGCCAGGCATGCATTCTACCACTAAGCACATTCCCAGACCTTACCTTTTGTTATTTATTTATTTATTTATTGGTTGGTAGTGGGGCACTGCCCCTGCGCTCCTCAGCTCAAGGCTAGCACTCTACTGCTTGAGCCACAGCACTACTTCCGGTTTTCTAGTAGTTTATTGGAAATAAGAGTCTCACGGAGTTTCCTGCCCGGGCTGGCTTTGATCTATGATCCTCAGATCTCAGCCTCCTGAGTAGCTAGGATTATAGGCGTTAGCCACACGGGCCCGGCTCTTACCTTTTGTTATAATCAACCATTTTCAACTTTTCTTTTTTTTCCGGGGGAGGGGGGGGGTCCGGTCGTGGGGCCTGAACTCTGGGCCTGGGCACTGTCCCTCAGCTCTTCAGCTCAAGGCTGGCGCTCTACCACTTGAGCCACAGCACCACTTCCGGCTTTTTTCTTTTTGCTTATGTGGTGCTGAGGAATCGAACCCAGGGCCTCATGCATGCAAGCACTCTACCAATGAGACACCTTTCCAGCCCCCATTTTTAACTTTTTTCTCTCAGCATATTATCTTTGTGAGAAAGAGTAGGTTTGCTTCATATTTTTATTTATTTATTTTATTTTTATTTTTATTTTTTTGGGGCCGGTCGTGGGCCTGAACTCTGGACCTGGACGCTGTCCCTCGGCTCTTCAGCTCAAGGCTAGCACTCTACCACTTGAGCCACAGTGCCACTTCCGGCTTTTTTCCTTTTTGCTTATGTGCTGCTGGGGAATCGAACCCAGGGCCTCATGCATGCAAGGCAAGCACTCTACCACTGAGCCACCTTCCCAGCCCCTTGCTTCATTTTTTTTTTTTTTTTTGGTCGGCTGTGGGGCTTGAACTCTGGGCCTGGGGGCTGTCCTTCAGCTCTTCAGCTCAAGGCAAGCGCTCTACCACTTGAGCTACAGCGCCACTTCTGGTTTTCTGGTGGTTTATTGGAGATAGGAGTCTCACGGTCTCTCCTGCCCGGGCTGGCTTTGAACCACGATCCTCAGATCTCAGCCTCCTGAGTAGCTAGAATTATAGGCGTGAGCCACCAGCGCCCGGCTTTGCTTCATATTTTTTAAGAAGAAAAGAATGGAAAAGCTCTTAAGTACAGGTCACATTGGAAAAGCTCTTAAATACAGGTCACATTCCATTATAGTGAGCTAAAAGGAGATTTTCTTTTTTTATGGGGGAGGTACAGGAGAAGGGTTTTTCTGGAATTTAGGAATATTAGGTAGTAAGTGAACCATTATTTTAAGTTATGAGTTTTTCTAGTTACAATGGAATTTGACCTCAGTCTTCGGATGTCTTGTTTTGTGATTGAGATGAAGGAAGCATAACTTGTAAAATTTAGTAATGACTTTAAAATTACATCATGAGCAGTAGACACAACTTGTGACTTTAAAAATTAATCTCATTTTGGATCAGAATATGGTAAATTGTTGATCTGATTTGTTTTTTGAGAATGGACATTATGTCATTTATAAATTGTATCTCTGAGTTCATATTTTTCATTTTGGCTTTTTTTAAGAGGATTTAATTTTGTGAGTTTTTAAATAGTACAAAAGAAGTTAAGAAAAAATAGAGTATTTGATTATGTGTTTATGTAATACCAAGTGCATTGTTTTCATTCAATACAGGGTAATTTTATCCTTAATGTAAATATCTATCTGTAGGTCTTAAAGTAGCAAGGCTAGCTTTTCTAGCATGCTATTAACATTGTATGCTTGGATTTCATACCATTCTACAAGCCATTGTTTGTAATAGCTGAAGAATCCCTTTTCCAAAATAGACTGTTTCACTATCTTTGGCCTTTTGAGTTACACTGAAGTTTTTATTTTTAGTTAGAGTAATTTCATTTATTAAACATTTAGCAGAAGTGATGGGAGAGTTTGCATTTTTCTTTTCTGCATATTGCCTGAAGCACTATGGATAGGTTGTATTCTATGCAAAGAATGTTACCAATTAAAGGCTCAGGTATGAATTAATGATAGAATGGCATTATTTTCAGAATGTGTTCTTAAGAGAAACATGTAGTTTCAAATGTTTGGGTAAGCCTTGCTTTTAAACTTTGTGCCTTATGCATTGCACTAGCGTCTGAGTTTGACCCTACATTGTAAGGGCACGTAAGGTGAATAGTGTTTGTTATTTGGCTAGAGTATTAGTGCCCCGAGAGGAAGAAAAGACTTGCTGAGTATTAGTCTGGTCATGAGGATGTTCTTTTTCTTGATGCTAAACCTGAAATATCTATTTCTGAATTTATGATCTTGAGTAATCTTGGGTATCGCTGTGATTCACTCCTTTAATACTAGTCTTTACCTTAAGTTGTCTTCCTTTTTGAATATTAGTTGGGAATTCTGATTATAATATTAAATTTTCCCAAATTTTTGTTTTTAAAAGAGATTATACTCTAAAACTGTTCTTGTGTTAGCACCTGCAATAGATTTTTCTGTATCTGAAATTCAGACCTCATTTTTTTTAATTTTAATTTTCTTATCAGGGTGATATACAGAGGGGTTACAGTTACGTAAGTTAGACAATATATTTCTTGTCAAACTCCTTACCCTTCCCTCATTTTCCCATTATTTCTTAAGCATTGCAGTAGCTCTTAACTGTTTTTTCCTGCCTTCTGTCTGTACTGATTCTTCACACTTGCCAGAATCAGTCATGTCAGTGTTCTTCATAAGCTCTTCTCTTCTTTTTCTATTGACTATGGGGGGGGGGGGGGGGAAATCTAAGCTTGTTAGCCTAATATTCATGGTTATTCAGAATCTGTCTAGCTAGCCTCAGGTCCATCCACTTTGTACTTGCAGACTCAGGATAGCATATATATTCTTCTTCTTTTTCTGGTTTTGTTATGTGTTGAGAAGGATTTTGAAGTTTCATGTGGACTTTAAACATGCTCTTATTGATGACTGATGGGTAGAAGAGTACTAGCACATGTACTAGAAATTTTTATCTGTAACCTTGTACAAACATGTTCTTGTACCTTGCCTTTGTTCATGCTGTTTTTGGCTTACAATATTTCTTTTTCCCCTGTGAAGTTCTCTTAAAGTTATAGTTCTCTTAAAGATATAGCTCATTCTTAAAATGCCTCTAAAGATTTGTGTAGCCACTGCAGTAGACTTACACAATCTTTTCTGGGTGATAATAGGGCTTTTGTTTCTATAGTCTTTAGAGAACTGGAGTAGCTTTGTCCAGCTAGATCATCACTCTGATATCATAGACATATATTACCTTAGTTTCCTCATTTCTTAGTATAATGTATGGCACAAAGGAGATGTTCAGTAAATATGTATTGGTTTGAGTTCAATCTGCTTAATCTTGACTAAAATAATTAATTTTCTTTTGGTTCTTCAGAAAAAAAGATTTATAAAGTGCTCAGGGGGCTGGGATGGTGACTCAGTGGTAGAGCACTTGCCTTGCATGCCTGAGGCCCTGGGTTCGATTCCTCAGCACCACATAAGCAAAAAGAAAAAAGCCGGAAGTGGCGCTGTGGCTCAAGTGGTAGAGCACTAGCCTTGAGCTGAAGAGCTGAAGGATAGCGCCCAGGCCCAGAGTTCAGGCCCCATGATCGGATTCCTCCCCCCCCCCCCCCCCAAAAAAAAAAGAATTAGTGCCCAGTCATTCTGTTTAATATATGATTTAGTCAAAGTGAAATTATAAAAGTAACATTTTTCTACTAAGGTCAAAGAAATTATTTCTCACCAAAATTGTCTTTGACCTCACAGGATCAGTGTGACAAAATTAGTTGTTAAATCTGTTGAGAACGTTTACTTAATACTAAATGCCAGCCAGTTGCAGAGATAGTCAGAACTGACAACAAAGAAACTGCAGACTTTCAGAGTTATGCTGAAGGTAGCCTAATTCTTCTGACAATTAAGGCTAGTCTGTGCAAAATAATTTCAATATAATTGTTTTTTTTTTTACGTTTCCTATCTTCATGTGGGGTATGCATTTGGTTTAAGAACATTGCAAGCCCTTCAAGCTTGTAAGAGAAATTAGTAGAAGAAATTACTGCTAAAGACTTCTTACAGTTGCCTATTTTTGGTT